AAAGAAGCCCAGGAGGATGGAAAGGGCAGGGAACTTCTTTGAGCAATGAGGTGGTGATGGAAGCGGAGGGAGTGTGTTTTTCTAACGGGATCACCGGCAGAGCGGGGAGACCGCCAGCCCTGGCTCCCCCACAAGGGTGCCCGGCCCAGGTGTTTGCTCGCGCCCCCGGCCCCCGCCCCCGCAGGTACGATAGCGACGGTTCAGCTCCCCCTCGCGTGGGCTCGCGTGGCCATCTGCCGTCGGGGACGAGCTGGGAGGTGAAGGGCCAGAGGAGGGCTTTGGGGGAGAGCAGGTGTAAAGGAGAGGGAGGGGGAGGGAATCGCCACTGCTGACAGGCAGCCAATCCTGAGAGGCTTGTGCCTTCCGCTGAGGCGGGGCGCCCCCCCCGATCCTATCCCTCGAAAGGGGGCGCTCTCGCCCACCCTGCCAGGGTTTACCTCCTTCTCCAGCGGGAGGCTCCCTTGTTCTCGTCCCCCCCCCTCTCGGAGCCCGGGGGAGACGCCTTTGCCTCCACCTGCACCTCCACCTCGGCCGCCGCTCTTCCTTCCCGGGGTCGCGCTCCTGATCCTCCTCCTCCTCCTCCTCCTTCCTGCGCTGGCGGGCAAGGCATGCCTGCCGCCCCTTGTCCCTCTTGCCCGTCGCCTGCCAGGGCCATCAAGGAGGACCCACCCAAAACTAGGCACTCCTTCCAGCTTCTTTCCTTCCTTCCCCTTCGGGATTCTTGGGCGGAGGCGGCGTTTCTCGTTTCCCGGTCTTGGCAAGGGAATCAGTGTGGTTGTGTGGGTGGGGGGGGGGGTTAGGGGTCCACAGCTGGGCTCCTCTGGATCGTTTTGGTCTCCCCTGGAGTCCTTCGCTAAATGCGATACCAACGCCAGGTTGAGCCGGAGAGGTAGGAAAAGAGGAGCGCCAGCCCGTCGACTCCCGGGCGACAGATACGAGGGCATTAGGCGGTTCTTGCGCACCGTCTGGCCTTCGCCCGGGGCTTGACATCGGCCCCGGCCCCTTTGAAGTTTGAAATTGGCCGAACCAGAGGGAAGAGTTGCTGGGAGAGGCCTGCGATCTCCGTTCGCGCCTGATGTTCGCACCGCGGACAGAGCCTAGCGATGGCTTGAAACCCCGACGGGTCTCGTCTGGAGAGCTTGACGCGGGCGCTGCCTCTCTCCCCTTGAAAGCCCCCGGTCCCTCGCTTCTTCGTGTTCACGGGGGCCGGCTTTCCGATTCCTAGTTAATCACTTGTAGGACTTCCTGCCGGTTGTGAAATTGCGCTGACGGTGACTCACCCAACCACAAAACGTCCCGAAACAGCGCCTCTGGTTTAAAAAAAATGTTTTAGATCCGTGCAACAAAAGAGGGCCCAATCCAGCCCGCGGAAACACTTTCCTGCCAGCACTTCTCTTACCACTCTTTTAATTCTAGACATTTTTTTCACCTTTCTGTAAAAGCTTCCCAGCATTAGGCTTCAAGATTGAGCACATCTATTGACCGGTGACTTCCGCTCAGCTGGGGGGAGACTTCGGAAAAAACACCCGGCTTACCATGATATATGGAAGGTGATGATGATGATGGAAGGGGAAGATATGGAGGCAGTGACAGATTTTACTTTCTTGGGCTCCATGATCAGTGCAGATGGAGACAGCAGCCACGAAATTCAAAGACGCCTGCTTCTTGGGAGGAAAGTGATGACAAACCTCGACAGCATCTTAAAAAGCAGAGACATCACTTTGCCAACAAAAGTCCGAATAGCCAAAGCTATGATTTTTCCTGTCCTGATGTATGGAAGTGAGAGCTGGACCATAAAGAAGGCTAACCGCTGAAGAATTGATGCCTTTGAATTGTGGTGCTGGAGGAGGCTCTTGAGAGTCCCCTGGACTGCGAAGAGAACAAACCTATCCATTTTGAAGGAAATCAACCCTGAGTGCTCACTGGAAGGACAGATCCCGAAGCTGAGGCTCC